AAAGAAGTAAAAACTGCCCGTAGCAGCACCCCTCACCCTCCAGCTGATGAAAGTGTTCAGAAAAGAGGGCAAGAGTCAAGACATAAAACGGCTCAAATGCAACCAGTTTACGAAATAAAAAAAGGAACATAATATACATATTTATTATATATTCTGTCCACTCAGATGTGAGAAATGTTTGGGAAGTTTACTATAGATTTCATCACTTGTACATGTCAGCTGTATAACAAAAACAAAAAAAAAGACAAAACAAAACAAAAAAAACAACAAAAAGAAACCAAAACCAAACTCTGAGTATTCTTCACAATCTGTACATTTTTTTCAAATATGGCCATAACAAAATTAGCCTCTATGGAATCATTTCATACAACTCAACTGGAAAGAAAGTTTATCATAATATAGTGCACCATTTTCTGACATTGAGCAAACCAAAAGATTGTTTAAACTTCTTGTTTGTAAGCGGTACAAAACTGTTCCAACGAATCAAATATCACAAAAGCACAGCCAAAGCAGAATGGAAATGTGTTCGACAACTCAAGGAAAAGCATACCAACAACAACAAAGGCTATAGACACAGAACTTTTTGGAAGACATAACTACTGTAAAACTTGTATAGAGATACACGTAAAAGCAAGCATGATCCAAAAAAAGTAAAAAGTAGGAATGAAGGGAGAGATACAGCCAAAACTGCTCTAAGGGCCTCCAGTCCAAAACAATCACACGTATAAACATCCACTTTCCATTCCCCCCCCCTGCACTTTCTTATATGGTCGCTTCTAAGGACAAGCGGGTAACCCAGATTTCAGGGGTTTCCAGAAATCTTGACCTACACCAAAAGTGGGCATTGCCCTACCTGTAGGAGAAGTACGGTTTCATTGGTGTGTATATTTGTTTGATTATAGAGAAAACTCTCCTTGTCTTTTAAAGAAACTGAACAAGGGGCAAAAACCTTACCTTCGATTTTCTCAAAACAGCATTTTTCAGGATAGCCCCCTTGTGCTTAAAAACGACCATATATCCTAATGACTCTCTCCAAGAGGACCACCTGTCTATGACAACCATTTTCTCCTCAACAATAGGTGGCCATTTGGACAGTTTTGACCGTATAAGCTTAATGTTAATTCTGTCGCAATTCGAAAAATCTTTTAAAATGATCCACTAGAGCCAAAGTCTATAAAAAATAAGAGGACCTTCAAAGAATCTGTTGGCAACTGCCATCCAGGTCAAATGAAAGACAAAAGAAAAAAGAAAAATGCAACAAGCAAAACAAAATACCATGCAGAAACATAAAGACTAACAAAGCAAAAAGTAATATATAAAGGAACCAAAAAAATACAATACACTACAATGAGGTCAATTTCTCCGACAGTCAGTGACATTGTAATGTTCACATACACGCATGTCATAGCATTTTGTGTTTTGAAATCCCCAGAAAAACAAAAATGAATGATCAGACAAAAATACAAGGGCGTAACATTTCCGACAAATAAGATGAGTTACAACATCTTTGGCACAAAAATATTATGACAAGTCCAGAGGGCTGGGTAAAGTAATGTGTCACATGATGTAACTAATTACATTTTCAATCAATGTCGCCAGTAATAAGTCACATTTCACAAGAATGCAACAAACATATAGTGTTAGAAATATGGTGCAGTCTTGAAGAAAGGTGGCCCATGAAACGGAACATAGTACCCCCCTCAAAAAAGTAGAGAATATCAGTTGTGTTCTTGTGCCTTGAGCAGAATTTTGTTACGAAAGTCAGTTCAGTTAACAAAAACAACATGGGATATTCACCCATTCTCTTTTCATTGTTTGATCGGGTCAACATTGAGTCAACAAGAAGTACAACTGGAGTAAAGATAAAGATCAAGTCTAGCATGCACAGAGCCAGCAGATTTTCAGGTCTCCAATTTTTTTAACAAGAATTTTTTTTTTATCCAATATGTATACATAGGGAAATTCAAACATAACGAAAAGATTTTGTATCCAGCCAACTTTGCTGTGTGCATGCTAGACTGACTGAAATTTCAACAAGAGGGAGGATGAATATCAGTACAGTCGAACCTTCCTTGGCAGTCACCTCTCCATAGCGGCCTCCTGTGCTAACTGCCATCGTTCCAAGACACCTTTGTATTTTTCCTACATTTTAAATCTGTCCCTGCCAGTCCCTGTCAAATGTGGCCAGGTTTAATCATTTTTCACGACAAGTCAACCTCAAAACCAGTTCACAGTAGTCATCTGCTATAAAAATGTTCCACCAACCCGACCTCATTTGTTTGTTTGTTAAAGTAAAGAGAAGCGCACAATAAGAATAATCAACCTCTGCTCAAACTGAGTGTGTACCTTCAATCAATGCAAAGAATCTCTTATGATAGATAGCAATTTTGATGAAAATGAAATAGAAAGATAAGATCAAGATCTCAGATTTTAAACAATCTTTTGACTATGTCAAGTCTAGTCTAGTAAGTGACCTGAACTCAGACCCTGCCAATAGAGCCCCCCCCCCTGTCTATAACAGTCGATTTTCCCTGTGTTCTTGAGTGTCCGTCATGGGCAGGTTCAACTGTAGAATCACAGACAGATGTTCCCCATGAGCCACCCTATAGAGGAGGAAACAAACCAAAGATCGTATATAACAAGATAGTTTACTCAGCCAAAAAAAGGTGTCCGTGGAAGTCTGCGCATTGGTTCAGATGGCGCTGCAGTCTTTGTTCTGAAACTTTCTTTCGTTTCTCCACAAGAAAAATAGGAATAGCACAATTTCTTAGTTTCCCTTTTATTGTTTTTCACACAAGTAGGGTAACTCTGTTTGCAAAGTCCGCACTTTTTGAAGAGGGCGCCACCGGTTTTTTAAGGACACTTTTTTAATTGGCTCAAAGAGAGGAGTGGACTATCTTGTTATGTACGATCTTTGAACAAGCACAAGAGCATAAACAAATATTGTAGGAAATAGAAAGTACAAGGTGCTGTATTTATGTACACACCATTATCTTTTTCGTTTGAGATTTTCAGGGAAGATGAAAGCTGGGTGTAGCTGACCTTTGTGGGAGAAGTTGGGAGTCATCACCTCGTGGAGATTTCTCTGTACTTTAATAATAATAATTTCATTCATGTAGTGCACATATATATGCTCTACAGCAAGTGCATCACAATTATTATTATCCCAGCATACAATAGAATACTCAGAAACATTCTCAGTTTCATAAGAAGCATACAATTCAAGCAGCCATTTAAGTGCTCAAACAGTAAGAAACTCACAATATCTTTCGTTCTCTACCAGTTCCCATCTGGGTGAAAGGAGGAAAATTGGTGTAATGTGCCTTTCCCAAGGATACAATGTCAGGCCCCTGATGGGGTTTGAACCCATGACCTTTCAGTTACAAGCTCATCAGACTTTTCCTGTGTGTAGCTACCCCTGCCTTCGCTGGAAGTCACATGAGTTCTTAATTGAGAATCTTCACCTCAATAAATAGTGAAACAATAGTAAAGATAAAGACATGACTTCAACATCATGGAGGACTCATATTGAATACAGTCGAATCTTGTTTAGCAACCACAAATCCAAGGCAACAATTACCTGTAAAATTGACCCCTTCTCACCTTCCCCCTTGCCTCTTTTTATTACAACAACACTGTCCAAGAGGACCACCTGTCTAAGATGACCATTTTTCTCCTGGACAATGGATTGTCATCTATGACAGGTTCAATTGTGATAAACAAATATTGCACACTTTAAGAACTTCACAGGTCGGTGGGACAAAGAGCCCTAATGAACACTGTACACAGCATTGAGCACCCCACATTGCAGTGACAAAAAAATGTGTTTTGTTAATTAAATTACAACATCATACAGCACACACCTTCTGAATAAAGTATAAGACAAATGACTGAACAGACTGAGGACATTAGCTCCCCATGATTTAGAATGTTCATGCGAGAGTCATTTTTGCAGTCAAAAGAAAAGAAGAAGAAACAGTAAGCATTCATCGCTGTTGGCCTCCCAGCACAAAAAGACGACACACCTGCACTTTTCAGACAGTACAAAATGCCCCCCTGGAAAGAATACAGATCAATGGCTGGGTGTAAGACTACAACATACAGCTAAATTGCCCAATCGCATTTGTCAGTTAGTTGTAGTAAGTGTTTTACGGCACTTGCAACACAATAAGGTCATATAAGTGCTGAAGATTAGAGGTGTTACAAGAGAGCAACAAACACAAAAGAGAAGAAAGGGAGATAAGGACTATAGGTGTCTGATAAGAAAAAAGAAGCAAACCACACCAGAGCACCCGCCAACCACTCTTACATTCAGCCATCAAGACGTAAAAACAAGATTGACAAAGAAAGAGAGCAAATGAAAATTCTCAAATAAAATCTCCAGTAAAGACAAGGACTGGGACAGGAAGAGGAAAGGAAAACCAGGAAAAATGAGACACAACATTTACTATGAATAGTAACAATAATAATAATAATAATAATAATAATTGCATTTATATAGCACATATCCACACTCTTCAGCATACTCAATGCACTTTACAGCTATTATAAACCCAACAGACCCTAGAAGAACGTTCAGAAACATTCTCAGCTTCACAGGAAGCAGAAAGTGCAAGCTGCGGATTACACGCGCTAAAACACTAGCAAACTGAAAAGATCTTTCGCTGTCTATAGCTGGGTACACCTAATACTGTGGGGTAGTAAATGAACATCTTACACGAGTACACTATAAAATATTAAATGACTTCAAAGTTACATAAAACAGGAGAAATACAACTTATGAAAAACACAGACCGTGAAGAACAATGCTGATCATAAGCAAAAAGTTGACAGCACCAGTTTAGTATTTGTGCTACACAAACATTTCAACGGCTGAATGCAAGACTACCACAAACGTCATTTTGCAATTTGGTAGTTATAAGTCTTGCACGCAGCCATCAACACTCACTGGAAACTTCCGGTACAATACATGCAAAAATGAGCCTTATCCAGTTTTTAAAAAAAGCAGAAACCAAGTATTTAGTTATTTTTTTACAAAAGGAAGACAATGTTTTGCATCAAAAGAAAAGGTGAGATCTTGAGTCAAATCTGTGCTTTACAAAGAAAAATATAATGGACATCAAAAAAATCTGTTAAATCTCTGATGAGACAATTAACATACTTGGAAATATAAACAATAAGCCATGAAATCTGTATTTAAGTGTCAAAGCTTTATAAGAACAAAAGACCCCCATGGTCTCCGCTCCTTTCAAACCAAAGATGTCAATTACAGGGCATCTCCCATTCTAGGCTTTCTGTCTGAGAAAAGGCCGGCCCAGCACAGAGTACCACCAATCAGCCCACCATTCACACAGGATTACAGAAAATCTGGGTTCTGCTTGAAGAGCGGTAATTTAACCTCCCTCGTATACTTCACTACCAACCTCGTATCCTTCACTACCAAAAAGGATAAAATATAAAATCAACAGCAGGCCGCGTCATACTGCCTGTCAGCAGCCAATAATAGCAAAGAAACCTCTTTATTATACATTCAAGATTTTTGCAAAAGTTATGTGCCTTCATTTACTTATTGCCTCTACATGTCAATTACAAAGGAGATGATTCGCTTTCCATATCTTACCCAAAGATGGTATTGTTTTGCACCAAAATAAAAAGAAATATGTACTCGAGAGTCAGTAGTAGCTCAGCAGAGGAACTAGCAACAGAGGGCATCACAGGCTATGGAAAAAAATATAATCTAAAACTTTTCAGACCCCGTGAAAATGCATGCACGGGGACTGGACGCTTACAGGTCATATTATTGTCTCATACAAATTGTATCAAGACTATTTCTATAAAAGAGCAAAATGACAAGCACGAATCTGACAAAATCTGAACAATTTCAGAAATCCAAGTTTCCGAATTAATCCAGAAAATCAGCATCTCTGTAACAATCAACAGGAAACCCGCACCTTGCATCTTTCCTTCTTCAGGTTCGCAAGCATTCACTAAAACAAAAAATTTGATTTTTTTTTAAAACTTCAGACGTCGTCAAACAAAATAATGTTGTCATCCAGGATCCGAGCAGCTATTTCTCCCACGGGTCCCTTCTCTTCTCGAATAGTGACGAGCAGCGGCCCGAGGCGGGAGCTGATGGCCATCCGGAAGGACACGGTGTCTGGATAGTTCCGCATGAAGTTCTCCACAAGACCCAGCATCTCCACCCGCACCTGGACAGGAATGGAGAAGAGAAAGTTGTTGCGGAGAGGTAGCTTGAGGTGAGACTGCAAGATTTCTTTTCTAATGTATGTGTTTTACACCCCCATTGACACAATTTGGATCATTTACAAGGCAGACTTCAGCCTTGCTGGTCAGGGCTAGCCCAGGCTGATAGGGATACAATATACCAGCAGAAAGGTCGAGATATTCAATAAAACTTCTTCCCACATGGGAATTGAACTCAGGTCTACCTAAGCGCCCAACCGCTACACTATCCTGCCGACAACAAGATAAAAGCCACATTTTCACGAACACATTAGGAGAATAAAAAGATGAAAAGAAGTAGAGTAGAGGGAGTAGATCACACCTGAGTGTCAGCCAAACGTACATACAGGAAAAGATTTAGTCTCCTATGTAGGAACACTTTGTCATAATAAGCAATGAGGGTTGCTTATCTGATGCAGCAGAAACTCATTTCCTACAGGAACAATGAGACAAACCCAGAAATAATATTTTTGACCACTCATTTCCAATATCTAATCTTACTTAAATAATACAGTAAACATTGTTTATTTTTTATTTTTCCGTATTTTGTACAGTAAAAGGCTCAAAGGATTAAGAAAGAACACAGTGAGAAGCCCAATTAAGACATGACAGAGAATTAAAAGCGTTGAAATTTCCCTTCAATGGGTCCTATCTTAGTGCAACTATCAGTCTTTATAAACAAAGGCATCAAACTACAAAACACACCGGATCATCTCGGCCCAAATCTCGGAGATATTCCTCAAATATACCGATGAGAGCCTCCACATCATTAGTGTAGAGCAGGTCAGAGGTGTCTGGGTGGTCGTACATATGAGTCAACAACAGGATCACGGAGTTACACTTAGGCTGTATACCAGAGTTGAGCACAGATGTCGGGTCCTCTGTAGAGAGAAGGGTAAACCCACCAACATATGTTAATACACAAGAACTTCAGTTTGTCAAGTTGTACCTAAACTCAAAACTGCTGTAACTATGTGCATCAATTATGCAAGCGATCTTTTCAGACCACAAAAAAAATCCCCAAAAACCCAAAACCATGCTTTGCAACTGTTACCTTCGATAAGAGGATTTATATAAAGCATATAAATAATTACTGCAAAGAAAACTTTATATTTAATTGCTGATGAAAATATTTCTCAAAGCAAAGGCAACCACAACTAAATGATGTAACTCTCACTTATTAATTGACGAATGATATACATTTCTGATGCAATAAAGATGACATTGATAGAGTTCATATTTCTCAGCAAAAGCAACAACAACTAAATGATGCAACTCTCACGTATTTGATTCAAGGTAGCAGAGTTCAATGACCAGGAGTGCCTCTGGGATTTTGTGAAAATAATTGGAAATTAATGAAGTTGCATTTGCAAGCAATGAGACAGTTAATAGAAACAACTAATATGGGGTTAAACAGAAAAGATATGTTGAGAATAATACTCTAACACGCACATAGCGAAATCTGCGTGATTCGTTATCTTTTTGTTATGTACAAATTTTGTTATCATGTACGTATATTAAATACAAAGAATTTACATATGTATAAGAAAAAATTCAGGACCTGAAAATCTGTTCACTATGTGCATGATTCGTTATATAAGTGCTAGACTGTAATTGTTCTGCAAATGGATTTTGAAGAAATTAAAAGAAATAATTGAAAAAAAAAGAAGAAAAGGCATCCCTGAATGACCTGTCCAGTAGCCCTTACCGTGCTTGGAGAGGAACATGAGAGCAGACTCGATCAAGGTGTGACCCTGGGCCATTTTCAGTGCCTCTGTGACGGGGTTCTGGGAGGTCCCCTGGTGCTGCAAGTGGTAGGCACAGACCAGCGCCACCACCACCTCCACGTCGCTGTCTCGACTCACCTCCGCAAGGTTCTCAATCATGCCCAGTAGCCAGATGAAGAAGTGGAGATCCATGGCCACTGGGAAGAGACAGAAGCAACAAACAATTTCCATGTGCTCTATAAACCAAAGTTTCCACTTCAAACTCTAAACCTGAATTAATAGAAATTTAAGACTATAGTCATGAAGCAAAGATGAAATGCAACAAAGGTGTGACTCTTTCACATATATGTCTATTTAATGAACTCATCAAAGAAACTATGATTTATTTTGACCTTTCTTGCCTTTCAAACAAAAATCCCCAAAACAAGGTATGAGACAGCTTTCTAAAAATAATTTAAGCCAAGTGACAAATACAGTCAAGCACACATACAGCAAATTTGGAAGGACTCTGAAATCTTTTCATTACGTATGTGTTTTGCCATGTACGTGTTCTAGAAACAATCAACATACATCTATAAAAGAAAATACGGGACTTGAAAATCCGTTCGCTATATACATAATATTCTTTATGTGCATGCAAGACTGTACTTGTAACGATAACGTTTCAAAATATTAAGACATACAGCTTAAGAATTCAACCAGCGGTTTCCAAACATGAATTGATAATCCCATATCACAAACCCAAAGGAAAGCAAAAACAAAAATATGACATACTACAGGAAACCGCAGTTTCAGTACATAGGTACTCTGTACTATCAAAATACACTGACAGTCACAAAATTACACTTACAGCTCAGTTTGTGAGGGGAGGGTTTTGCTCTCATGAAAATAATTCCAAGTGTTTTGGAGACTAGTAGAAATCTGGCATCATCTGTGCAACAAAAACAAAAATTATGAGGAACTAGTAACATCTCCAGAAGAAAAATAGACTTTACAAAGATAGGTCGACATATTGTCAATTTGTGCTGCCGAAGAATTACATGTACCGGCACATACTTTTTTAAAACATCTTTCATTTCAAACAAGTACCAGAACATTAGGAGAACCTGATCATCTCAAAACTGTAATTCTATAAAGAAAAAAAAAGGATCTCGAGTCCAGAGAGTCTAAAACTGATGCCATTAACACTTTCAAGGCAACAAAGGACAAACCAAAAACACAAAATTAATAAAAGCGTCCACTAATATTTTAACTGACATGAATACTCAAAAAAAAAAATATTTCCAACTAACTGCGTTCAAGACACTCCTTATATGTAGGGAAAGATCAAAGATAAAATAATTTTCTTTATATAATTTAACATAATCCTTCAGTACATGAACGGTAAAAGAGTGAAAACATTTTGAAACAAACAGTAGATGTCACCCGGGAACGCAAAAGTTTTTAACTTTTAAGTTGTACAGTTTACATAATTTAAGAAACACCCCTGCAACTTGCAGAATTACACAACAGTTGAGTGGTAAGTGAAGAATTTTATTAACATACACCATTATTGCTCTTTTTATCGAAACAGTAGGTCAAAGTAGCCAAACGGATTTGTTAATTAAAGGCTGGAGGAAGTGGAAAGTATAGTATTTAAAAAATCCAAAATGTCACTTGAAAACAAAAGTACATGTAATTCCATCTCATATCTCCAGCCTTCGACTCTTTTTAAATAGTCGAAATTGTCTGAGACAGCCACCCATTATCGAAGAGAAAAGTCGTTGTCTCAGACAGGTGTGTGTTTTGAACAATGTCATTATTATAATATTTTGTTTTAATGTAAGGGGGGAGGTGGGAAGTGGTCATTTTGTACAGGTGGCTGTCTCAGACAGGTGGTCTTTAAAACAGGTTCCATTGTACTTCCACCTCATATCTCCAGTCACTGACTCTTTCTAAATATTTGTTTGCACAACTTTCTACCACCCTACCATTGTGATGCTGCTGCATCTCAGCAACCAGCTCCTGGGGCAGCTCTGAGTAGAGAAACTCCAAGATGGCTTGAGGGTTGAGACGACAGATGATCTCAATCAAAAGAAGTAGGCAGGAGTGAATGATCCAACGTGTCTCCTGTACGAAAAGGAGATCAAAGTCACATTAAAACTTTACTCTCACTTCTCGGTTTTGTCACAAGCTGGTAGCATACATATTCAAAAGCAACTTTTTTTCACAGCGTGTAAACTTCTTTATCACTGTTCTTTTTATTGACAATACAGAAGATTTTAGATTTCCTCTTTCTGCGGAGAAGCATAGACTTCGTTACAATCACATTTTCTTCCAAAAATAGAAAATTTAAACCTTTCCACAATAATATGAGAAAGATCCTCTAAGCATATTTTGCTTTTGATTGCATAATCAGTGAAATTTCTTATTTGATTGATTAAAATCAAATATCAAGGTTAAGGCCCTTGACTATCTGCAGTTTAAACAGCTAGACAAGAAAGCCAAATTATTATATAAATACAAATTTTTAAAAACATCTTGAACACTTTTCAAAGTTTAAAACTATTATGGCAACAAAGAACACAATATTTTTTTTCCAGAAACCATTTTCTCAACACAAATATACCTCTATACACTGCCGTTAAAAACAAATTTCTACGCAACACTATACAATGAAATGTAGATATTAGAGGAGAGTTCTTTAACATTAAATATTATAACTACGCACTCATAGCCCATTCTTTTTCATAATTTAGAGACAAAAGTTGCGGGGTAGGATATCATTTACCCAGTACTTTAAATGTCTAATCTTCAAAAATTACCATTTGATAATATTTGGCAATGAGCTCCATCATATGGTAGCCATCCTTCTGAATGGCAGCAACACTGACACAGTGCTTGGCATTACTCTGAAGGAGAAACAGAAATCAAAGAGATATACAGTAGTACATATACAGTCGAAGCTGTCCACGACGACAATCCCTTGTCCACAAAAGTAATCATCTTAGACGAACGGTCCTTGAACAGTGTCATTATAATATAGAAAAACACAGTGTCATTATAATATAGATAAACACAAGGGTGGAAATGGGAACTGGTCATTTGTACAGGTTGTCTTGGACAGGTAGTCATCAGAGCAGGTTAAGTTGTTTGTGTAAAAAACCTTGACAATCAAGCATTCACAAAAAATTAAGTGAAAAGAAAAAATAACAAAACAAGCAGCTTTTTATCTGCTTTCAAATATTAATATAAACGAATACCTGAAGAGTAAGCTGAAGTAAGTTGTTATATTATGTAAAGGTAACGAACAACAGATAACTATAGACAATTAACAAGAGTTGGGCTAACTCTTGAACTTAGTGAAGTTTCTGGAACATACTGCTTTGCAGTCCAGAAGTGATACTGACAAACAAAACCAAATCATTATTATAATTATTATCATACACAGTTAAATAAACATCAAGTCAGTGACATTTCCTTTTGTGGAAATACCCATGACAGAAACATCCCAAAAGTAAGCCCAACATAGAAATATTCTCCTTCTGCAGCATACATTGATAGACAAACTATTATTATTATAATTGTATCATAGTTCTTTCTTACTGTGGGAATGCGTGAGAGCACATTAACTTTGTAACACCACTGTCAATGTTAACAACCAAGACAAATTTCTCCCTGTGAGATGAATAAATATTGTCATTGTCATTATTAGCACCCCTAAAACAAAGCTTTTAAGAATTACCAGTGTCTCTGACAAGCCAGTGATGATGTCAATGATATTGTCAAGGTCATCCTCCAGATAGTGGCCTCGTTGCTGTGAGTCATTGGTTACTGCGGAAAGTTCGGCCATGAGGCGATCCATAGTCACTGTGTCTTCACACTGGTAGTCTCGCCCTGTGCTGTGGCACTGGAGAATACAGTAACAAAGGAGGTCTCTCACTGATTCATTGTTTGGATTTTTTTCCAATGCATGTTTACTAATCCCTTTTGATACAATTTAGATCATTTAGGAGGCGGACTTTGACCCTGTCTATCACAGCCAACCCAGGTTGAGAGGGATGCAATGTCCCAACAGAAAGTGATACCTGATTGAATTTCTTACCTCAGAAGGATTGAACATGGGTCTTCTGCATGCAACAGCAAAGCTACTTACTGCCATACAGACACCCGGGCACTATTTGTCATCAATTAAGACTGTAACGAACTTAAGTAAAAAATGAAACAGAACTCTTCAAAAGTTTGGAAAGCAATTGCTCAAATCCATGCTGTGATCACATCCCCCCCTCCCTCCCCCTTCAACTAACTCAAGACTTTGAAACTGGCCAATCAAAAAGATTGTTAAAATAGGAACAGTCTAATAAAAAGGAAGCAGAATAAAGAAGCTAAATGTATCCTTCCAATGAGATAATTGTAACTAAATAGAGGGACAGGGTGTCTAAATTAAAATTCAGATGGACCCGAGTAGTTCTGATGAAAAAACACCATCAAAAAACAATACATTTAGAGAAGATGTGAACACGCAAGTCCAACTCAAGGCAAAAACACACTTCTGTACACACCTTGTGAGCCATATTGAAGCGCAGGGCTAGCACCTCAAGCGATGGCTTAATGTGTGGCACCTTGTCCGCTAGCAAGTTCATGGCCGACATCAGGGCCCAGTGACTGTCCTCGTGGCTGAGATTTGTCATTTTCCTAAACTGGATAGGGAAAACAGGGGTCAACATGTTACCTCATAGTCTACTTAAACATCAGTTTCACAGCATCTAAAACACCTCTACAGAAATCTGCAAAAGCGATTTACTTCAAAGCTTTTGTATTAAAAAGTAAAGCACTTAAAGTTTATTCATTTGAAGCAAAAAACTAGGCTCACGACATTCAATATTAACAGTTCTGATCAATATCTCTCGTCAGTCTACTTCATTTAGTAATAGGACAAAAATATAGCCTAAAATATGAATCCCTCACTTCTCCAATCATTTCCTCACAGTCAGCGTGAGTCACATCCACACCATGGGCCTGAGCTTTCTCATAATTTTCGACAGACATTTTCCTCGCTTCTAGATCATCTCCTTTTCCATCATCCTGTAGAAGAGACGTCAGGATTCCAGGGTCTCGTCTTGTCTTTTTGGTAACCTTTACCTTGTGAGACGACGGCAATTGTAAGGACCCTCTGCGATAAAATGAAGAAGCACACAACACATAGAAAGGAGTTAGCATGAATAACACAAGAAATAAATGCATATTATTTCTAGTACTAACAATGAGCCCAGCTTACTAGAACTTAAGGACACAAGACAAATGTTATCGAACACATTAAAAGGAAAATAAAAGACATAAGCTATTCACTAATCTAACTGTGCTGATTAAACATATCTAGTGGAGAACCAAATCTCCCTTTCTTTTTAAATAAAAAACTTCCTATTTTCCTTTTTCCTGTAATGCTTTTTTTTCTTTAAGCAAAACAATTATTATCATGTTGATACATCATCTACCTAACTTACAAATATCTAGCACTAAATCACAATACAGGACAAACAACAAAGAAAAAAAAAGGAAAAAATAAGATTTAAGTCACTAGTTACTTGACTTTAGAGTAAGTCACATACATTTGATGTTCGTCTACCATGGGAACTTTGCCAAAACATCCAGCAATTTCTTACAAGTGTCCCTTGTTATAACTGCTTATTCATAAAAACAACAAACTACTTATATTTAAGAGCATGAATATCCCTTAATTTTATGAACAATCTCCCCTGTTCAAAACGAGACATAGCGAGCTTATTTCCAATATGTTTGTAATTTCAGGAAGAATAGCAACTGGTGCTCCACATCTGGGCCATGAGATAAAGTAGACAAACCTAACAAGTAATTTTGCTTTCCCCATCAATGCACACTGGCCATAAAATGTGGACATTTTTACTACAATATAACATTTTCCATAATGTTTCTCAAGTGAAAAGGTCCCCAGTGAGCTGTATTTTATCAGAACTGTTGATTCCATCTGTAACAGTAGAGTACCATACACAGAGTACTTACTGAGCAAAGAAAGGCCCATCTGGAATAAACTTGGGCTGGAAATCATCACAGGAACACTCTTCAATGGCTTTCTTCTTGTACCGCTGAATCTCCTCAGAGTTTGAGCTGTTGAACAGTTGTACACTGCCGCTGATTTCTTCTGTGGGTGTCAGATCGATTGGTGCCGGGGGCAGGGAGTTGTCCACTGCAAACTGTTCATCATTTATATCATCGTACACTTCAGGTGGTGGCGGGGGGAAGTCATCTAGGGGAAGCTCGAAATCATTCACTGCAGACATGGTAGATGCGGTGCTCTCATAACTCTCCTCCATATTGCCAGACTGTAGCGGAGGGGGCAGAGGGTCTACATCATCCTCCCTACTAGACGCTGCGACATTATCAGCAGTTGTACATGGCGGTGGAGGTGGCTGAGATTCATATTGTTCTGGACAGGTTTCTTCAACAGGTGGAGGGGGAGGGTCGTCTTCACTTTGCAACCTGCCCGTGCTATGTTTAGAACTCGTTTCGCTGCTCGCTTCAGATGCGTTCTCGCAGTCTTTCACACTGGACTGCTCTGGCATCTGCTCCGTTGGTGGCAAGTCCTCACATGGTTCATCCATCTCAAAGGGATTGTTGTTCTCAAGCGAGTAGCTATCGTCTGTTGTGGTGAACTCACTGGCATTACTGGAGACTGAGGAAACTAAAGAGGAAGGCTGACCTATGTTGTTGGTTAAGCTTACACTTCGTGTGACATTCTCATCTACAACATTTTCTTTCTTTACGTTCTCTGTCTGCAAAGACATTCTCTTCGGGTCAACAGTTCTACTGGAGGAACTTTTGTCAAGCTTCGATTGGCTGGACGTCTTTTTGTGATCAGCCCTTTTTTCATCCCCTCTGTTGGAGCCTGTGCCTGGAGGGTTGGCTAAAGTGGCACTGCGACCCACCGCACCCAAAGATGCAGGTCTACCACCCGATGTTGCATCCAAACTGGCGCTTCTGTCCACAGGTGGAGCAGGCGCTGGACGTCTTCGCCCTGACGACTTCCCTGAGCTCCCCTCAGATGCAGATGCACTTTTTATTACATCGGCTCTGTGCTTCACAAGTTTCCTAAAGAAACAGAAGAGACAAACAATTTTTTTTCCATGTTGACTTAACACCTCTACAAATGAAAAACATGATAAACATGGCAAGGTAAAGATAAAACTGGGGAAAATAACAAACCGGCAAAGCTGGCTACCTAATGATGCATGCATAATAAACCCATGGGGCATATACTGTAAAGAATCATTGATACATGATGCTATTGCTCTCTTCTCTTGATCATTCAGGATTCAGGTTGGATAAAAACATTTTTTAATGTCCTCCATTAGCAAACCATGGTCCACTTAGCAACATTACTTCAACTTCAAGAATAACATGACACTTAGTTTTTCCTTGATTCTGGGGAACTAAATAAATTGAAAAATGTAATCTTTCTTGTTGAAATTGATATAAAACCACAAGTATGTAGAGCACATACACAGTATTTCCAAGGTTTTTTTTAAAAAGCACATAAATACAGCAAAAGTCATGCAATGCTCAAAGCAAAGCAGGGTGTAGAAAACTAAAACAGAAATAATTTATATGTCAGGAAAGAAGTATGATCTATGAAGGTGTTTTCTGACCATACACAGACACCAAAAGCAAAATCTTACTTCATTATAAGCCTCTGTTCATGGGAGTACTGGCCACCAGAATTAGTGGCTTGTAAGTGGATGGCCTCCATGGCTCCATCTATGAATTTCACCTGCTGTTCTGTGGTGGCCTGGGAACAACAGGAAAAAAAAAGGTTACAGTTATAAGCCAAAGACACCAAAGAACCTGAAAAATTGTTGCTGTCTCATTCTTCTTCTTTTCTTCTGCTCCCGTAGATTTCCATCCGTAGGGTCATCTCTGATAGGTGGCAACAATTCTTCTCCACTCCTCTCGGCTCTCCGTATTCCTCAGTGTGTCCCGCAGCTTCATGGCTGTTCATTCTCAGATGCTATCATTCCATCTCTCCTTCTATCAGTCTCTCCTTTGTCCTTCCCGCAGAGTGCCCTTGTTTTAGCAGGGCCTGAGGAACGGGTGACTTGGCCATATCATTTCAAATTGCATTGCTTTACCAATGATAGAAGGTCAGTGTAAGGCCAGCTAAATTTCTTATATAATGCTCATTTCACTTCTTCATTGGTGACATGGTCTTTGTATGAGATGTTAGTTAAGCAGCTTACAGAAGCATCTCATCTCAACAGCTAGCTCTTCTTTTTCTTTCAAAGTCTGCTATCTGGGTGCAAGACTCACATGCAAATACTGATGTCACTAGAGAGCGCATGTGTTGAAGCTTGTGAAACTTTCGAGAATTTGATCTTTGCTGCCTCATTACACTTTCTAAAAGAACTGAAAATCCTGCAATGCAATGTTAATTATACAAACTGATAGAACTTCAGACACAGTCACAGTGGATGTGCAGTCGTTCTGGTAAATACAGTAGTCTCCGCCTAAGATCCCGGTGCTCGGGAGCAAGAAAATGCGGGATCTTAGGCGAACCGGATCTTAACCGACGAACCCAGTGAAGAATCTATGGTGACCCATGCTAAGGCTCACAATCGGTAAAATGGTCTCCCTCCACTCTAAAATGAACTGACGTGACCCCTGGGTGGGATTATGACATTATGGCGAACAAAGAGTGGTTAAAAACCTTGATGACCTATCACAGTGTGATGAGGCATGCCATTTTCACTTATTATCCTATCCTGAGTCTCAATCAAGATCTACGCTTATCCAGTTGCCCCTCCCCCTTACCTGTGAAAAATTTATAGCTTTCCATCTCTGACCGAGTCCCCCCCCCCCCCCACCAAAACCGCCTTTGTCATTATAATACACCATCACGTTGTGAATGTGAACACGCCAATTAAAATTCAGTCTGTCTCGCAAATTCGGGAGTAGAGACAACTTCTCAGGGAAGAGTTCACAGTTCGATGTGATCCCACCTGGAGCTACCGTGTAGACCTTACTAAACCCACCCAGCGAGTGATGTAAGTTTAGGGGGAGAGCTCAGGTGTGAGTGCGATGTTCGGGGAAAACGAAAGTGTCGGTCAGTTCACACCCCGGTGTGATCCCGTCTGGGGCAAACATTGTATCGCTTCATCGAGTTTTACGTGTATGTGATCACATTCACGATAGTGGCTGATCTTTGACGTGACGGACAGTTTATTGATCTCAACTTTTCACTCTTGGTTGATCGGCTGTCCTGCCCGGGTTTTTATTCCATAAATTGTGATTTAAAATGCGGGATCTTAGCCGAATGTAGACCTTCAGTTCAGAGTGAATCAGAGCGGGATCTTAGGGGTGACTTTTGTGGGGTAAAAATTCTGTTTTCTTAAAACAGTGGGATCTTAAGGGAACCGGGATCGTAAGCGGTGGGATCTTAGGCGGAGACTACTGTAGTACGGCAAATTTGTGACACAATGAGAAAAGCTGTTAAAAAAAGACACAAAATAGTATAGTAGTCGAAAAGTACAGGACGAAATCAAAAAGCCAGTCATCCTATTTAATGCTTTACACACATTGTTTGTCTGTTGTCATCATTTTTATGATCTATACAAGAATCCAGTCGCCTTTTCATTGTGTTCAATTGAAAAAAAAATAAAACAAACTGAAGTTGAAGAGTCAATGGCAATTCTACTCGCTAATCAGTCACATCGACACAATTACAAATCTTTCAAAACAAACCACTTTGTATAATTTTACCTCAATCTTTTTGATGTAATTGAAGGGAACAAATCCAATTCCCCCAAAGCCATTTTGAGCCAGAAACCACTGTTCTGATACAGAGGTGTCAACAAGAGTGAATCGATCACCAGCCTCAAACGACAGGTATTTCGGTAACTGGCTTTTGTAAGCATACAGAGCTCGGTACATTTTCAGCTCTCTTGATTGAACTTAGAATCACAAACCCTGCATCTGATCACTTTTATCAACGGTGAATGCCCTTGCGTGCTAAAGTCTCTCAATTCCGTTGTAAAAATAAATCAAACCCCAAGTCAGAGACAATTCTAATAATTTGTTATTGATACCCGACACAGACAATAACAGACAGTAACAAGACACAGTCAACAGGGTTAAGAAAGGGGCCGTAACCGTAACTTCTAGGATTTGCTCGTTGTTTATTAATTTCGTTCTTTAGTAATGTTTTCAATCATTTTATTTGTTGTTGCAAACCCTCGTTTGGCCTTAGCCTTTGTCTCGTGTATACTTCACAAAAGTACACAAAGTTAATAATCGACATTCCACTTTGTTTTTATCGCTCTAATCCAAAGAGTACAGAGTTTGCTTCTTGCATCAAGCTCATTTAGCCAACTTCAGATGATGCAACTTTGTGTTTTATTCATCGGGAGGTGTCATAAAAATATTTTTATTGATGAATAACAAATCCTATATATTCAGTATTATAAGTTTTTTCGTTTTTAAATTGTTTTGATTTATTATGTTTATTTTTCAGGGCTTTGGTTAAAGAACAAACACCAGTTTTCAAATCTTATAAATTTCCAAATCAAATACTCAAGGATCCCCTTACAAGGAAGTGAGTGTTCTGACATGCGTGCTTCCACGTTGAGTTACCGGTGATTTCAGCAGACCAAGTGTTTGGTTCCGTCTGTTTTCAGCACCAGAGTTCATTGTGTTGTTAGTGATATTTTCGAGTTACAAAGGGGAACAGTTGCTTACACCATGGTTCTTGACTTAGACCAATTCCGTACTGATAAGGGTGGCAACCCAGCCAAAATCAGAGAAAACCAAGCAAAGCGTTTCAAAGATGTAACATTGGTTGACAAAGTTGTTGAGCACGACACAGCATGGAGAAAATGTGAGTAAACTCATTTCTTGAAATCTTGTTTCAATTTTTTACATTACATGAATATGCCACAAAGAGATGAAGACGCATGTGTGTTAAATAATGTTGTCTTTCTTTTAAATCTTAGGCTCAGAAAGGCTAAAATCTAGATCTAGATTTTCTAGGCCCTTTTCCTCGTAACTTGTAAGTATGCAGTTAATTTTGTCATCTAATTTTCGGAAGGACTTCAACTTCAGTAACGACAAAGAGCAACAAGCCCAACAAATTACAAAACAAACACAATACGGAGTGTCTACGTGCGCAGTTACCGGTCTCATGGATCTATTCTATTCTCAGTATCTACGTACACGGTAACTGTAGGGTAGGCCTAGGCCCCTACTTAGTTTTTTGGGAGCCGCTTGAGCTAGAAATCTAGATTTCTAGATCTATGTGCACGGTAACTGCTTCTTCCCCCACTCATCCCTGGACTGGCCCATCACAACGCCGCACCGCTGACTGCCTGTTTGGAACCCACCTACAGCCGTCCATTGCCCAACCCCCTTTCCCCAGATACAGCTCGCTCAATCTCTTTCACTGTATCCAAGTTCGGGTCTACCTTGCCCTGCTAAACCCAAGCATAAGTTTACGTAGAAAAAAGGGGATTCCAGTAAAGTCCCGCTGTAGGGGTCAGATGGAGTAGTTGTGCATCTAGATCTAGATCTACACAAGGTGTCTATGACTATGAACTTGGATAGAGAAAAAAAGGCAGCTGAAATGGCCATTGTCAAACAATACAATGTGGCCTCACACAATGCCAATGCACTCATTCTCATGGGAGTTCGCACAGTGTACACACAACACGGCGAGTTGCACAACACGATACTTCTATGAAGAACGAGGGTGTACCTTCCAGTTACCGAGTACGTAGATGCTCCGAACACAATAAAGAAGAGATCTAACCCTACCCTTACCCTTACCCAAACCCAACCCCTACAATGCCCTACCCCTACCCTTACCCTTACCCTTACCCCAAACCATAATCCTCTATTTCTATTCTACTCTCTCTCTACTCGGAAGGAATTCCATAATGAGCGACCACTATGAAACAGAAAAGTGGAATAGAGGGTTAGAGGTTTGGTTTGGGTTAGGTCTCTTCTGTTAATTAAATCTTTATTTATTGTGTTTGTTGGGGTGGTCGCTCATTACGGAAGTACTGTAGGCCTGATCTATTAATTTTTTATTTTGATATAGATGAGTATGAGCATGAAATAATAAACACAGCAGAAATGGAGAAAGGAACAGGCTAACCTTACTTAATGACAGCTAGACTGCTGGGCTAGCCGTACTTGATAGTGATGGCTGGACTGACAAGCAACAAAAAAAGGCCTACTGAATTGAATTATTGTATATGTAAATAAATTTTTTGTATGCAATACCTAAAGTATTTGTATTTGAGATGAAACCAAAAGGTGCCTTACTGACAGTGCATGTATATATTTTAAACCTGAATAACTGAACTACTAATGAGACCTGTGTACTCAACAAGTTTCGGTCAATAGGGCCTAACTTAGATCTTTAAGTAAGGCTAGCTACTTCGATTGAGAAATGAATACTCTCTAATGACAATAAATATTACAAGTTATAAAGTAACCTGACTACATCATGTGTGCGATGTGCTGTGCAATATTTCCTACTTTTTCAGTATTTGGAAGTTGCTTCTCTGATCTTTTCTGCTACAAAACACTGTCTAGTCTCTTGCCGTTCTGCCTGCTTGTTTTTATTTCGAACCAGGTTTCTATCATGTAGTCCTATAGACTATTGTTCCAGTCTTGTCTCAGGCACAGGTGGGTCTCCCCGTCCTCTCTTGCCATTTCTACCATTGCTTCCAGAATGTTCCTTGTTTGAATCATGACTTTTGATACAGGTGGCTATGCTATGATGAGAGAGAATTTCGTCCTATCATTTTTAACCAACCAATTTTTTACCCAAATTTCCATTTAAAAAACATTCAGCCCCTGTTTAACGTAGCACCATAACGTGACAGTATTAAACTGAGCAGAAATTTTCATGCTCGCTGTCCAATAAAAACAAAACAGCAACATTTAATCATTTTTTCCCCATGTGTCCCCAGTGCGCTTTAGAGCAGATCTTCTAAACAAGCTAAAAAATGTTTGCAGCAAAGAAATTGGAGAGAAAATGAAGGTAGGTGCACTTTTTCATGAGTATTGAGTACTCATTAGAATGGACAAGAGTACTTGTATTTGTTGGGTTATGAATTACAAAACAGTGGCAGTGTATTAAATGAAATATATATATATAGCTAAAACTGTGTTAACACTATCTTCATCGGATTTACAGGTGTAAATTGAAAATGGGACATTCATCATAGTTAATTTTGGATGGTTGGCAGCTCCCCGGTGTCTCATCTATCTGTCCTGTGACAAAGTTACTTCTTCACCACCCACTGCGTAGGGGGAGTAGAAAAGAATTTTACACTCATGCTTTTAAATACTAACCCTGTGTCGTGAGACTAAGCCCAATGCTTTAAATGAAGACAAGTTTGTATTTTGTGTGAGTTGATTGAAAGTTATATAGCGTATATTTTGAATTGCACTTGTACCTTGGACCTATAACAGTTATTATATATAGAGAGAAAAAAACATAAATGGGGAAATGAGATATATGGTATGGTTGTTTGTACAGATGGTCATTAGAGCTTACTGGATTGTATTATGATTCTGCCAGTTTGTGTTGGAACTACAGGTCTGTTTATTGGCTTGTTATTTCCTTTATCTTGCAGAAAAAAGAACCAGTTGGTGATGATGATTCAATTCCTGCTGACATTCTGAGCAACTTAGATGCTCTTACACAGGACAAGCTCAAGGTCTGTCCAAATGCTACCATAGTCATGTTTAGAAAATGATTTCAGTATCTGCATTTGTATCCTGGAAATTCTGAAGATGAAATCTTACGTTGATTTTTCAGTAACATGTAGAGAACATGGTATCAGTACACAGATATTGTGTTTGTTAGTTAATTTGAAAGATAAGATCGATTTGATGTTAACTTTTTTTCCGTTAGCATGTTTATGTTTGTCTTTTGAGCGGTTTTATATTGTGTAGAGATCCTGCTTTTATTTTCATTCTTTTTTTTCAGTTAACCCAGACGTTCTTAAAATTAAAATCTAAATGAAATTGTATTTAATATGTAATGTGGTGTCTGAAAGTGATCTAGTGAACCTTTTTATGATTTGAATTGATGACAATTATTCTTGTTTCCTGTCCATATTCAGGAGCTCACTGTGACCCAGATCAAAAAAGTTCGGCTCACTCTAGATGACCAGATGAAGGAGAATGATGCTAACCTCTCACAACATGAGACTGACAGGAATGAGGCTCTCAAGGAAATTGGCAACATGCTCCATGAGTCATGCATTATCAGCAAGGACGAGGTGCTGTTATTTGTTTTTTGTAAGACTGTCTCTTCTTCTGCTTCCTCTTTTTGGGGGGATATTATCTTTGTTTGGGGATATCGACAAAAAATGTCCACACGTGTTCAATTTATTTCATATGAATTTTAATTCAGGTTATTATTTGTTTTCAGTCAAGAAATCTTGGTCTTTTCTCATTTTTCCCCACTTTTCCTTTCTACTGTTCTTGGACGATTTAAAAAAAAAACTTTTCTTCACTACATTAATAGAGAGTAGATATGTATTGCGAAAGATAGAGTTTTGAGTTGAAGACTACAATAACGATCTTTTTTCCCTTGGATTATCTTCAGGTGAACTCTAGTTGTTTTTCCATCTAAGGATAGAGCTACAGATTATGATAATTTGTTTGCATTTAGAAAAATGTGAAGAATTTGAATTAACAGTATTTATTTGTCAAGCCTTGTGAGTTTTTGATAGATACTAAGTTTTCCTCTGAGCCCTCGTAAATATGGGTTTGACATTCATTCTTACAGGATGAAAATGGCATTGAGAGAACGTTTGGGGACATAGAGACCAAGAAGAAGTACTCCCACGTGGATCTTGTCGTCATGATTGACGGTGCTGACAATGAAAGAGGATCTGTCACTGCTGGCGGGAGAGGTTACTACCTCAAGGTTTGTATCTTGTTTTACCCCTGTATATCTGAAATCACTCTTCTAAGGAGCAGATTGAGCTCCAGCTGCTTCAGTCAGCTATGTTGTTGATGTCATGGGGGTTTATGGTGCGGGTCACTTATGTTTCGCATCCCTAATGTAGAACTGCCTAGAACACCCAAAGATTCAATAATACTGTTTTATTTTCATGTATTTGCAATGCATGTTCTTCTTTGCCATTTGCCACGGTCGTTTTACTAAACAATCTTACTCTACTTGCGTTCTGGATACTCCCAGTATTTTTTCGCACTCTTGTTTTTATGTATGAGTTTGAGGAAAACTAATTTTGGTCAAGGAATGATATATGGCTTTCAACTAATATCTTGAAATGGGAGTTAAATTAAGTAGTTCCAATCCTGTATATAACATTACAGTGTTGTTAAAAGGCAATTTTAACCCTTGCCAATCCATACAAATTGGCCAACAGCTGCAGGGTGGGGAGGGGGGAGGGTATGTTCCTACCTTGGATGTGTCTTGGGATGGAGCGTGTAGCTGTTGTTCATGCCCTATGTGATCCATCAAAGGAGACGAGAGGGTAACAGGTCAGTTGCTCAATTGCACTGAGAAAATTGGTGTTATTTGGACTTTGTCCTTGGGTGCAGTTATTTTTCATCTATTTGAGATCTGTGTGATTAAGTTGGACAGATATATTATATCGGTATATCTTTATACACTGGGATCAAAAACAGACTAAACAGTTACAACCAGAACTTGTATAATGCAGTACACAAGATTCCACATCAGCTATTTCTGTTGTTATAAACTTTTGTTGTGGATGGTTGGCGGGTGCTCTGGTGTGGTTTGCTTCTTCTTTCCTATCAAACATCTATCGTCCTTATCTCCCCTTCTTCTTTTTTATGTTTGTTACTCTCTTGTAACACCTCTAATCTTCTGGCGCTCATATGACCTTATGCTGTTGCGAGCGCCTTAAAACCTCAACTAAAAAAAAAAACTTTTGTTCAGAAAGATCAGCAGCACTGCTACCTGTCTTGGCAAGATCTGAAAAAAATTAAGAATTTTTATGAATTTCAGCGCCCCTTACCTATTGTTATTAACTAATAAAGATTTTTCTTTCATTTCTCCTCTGCAGGGCCCCCTTGTGTTCTTGGAACAAGCTCTGATCAATCATGCCATGATGTTGTTGCATGACAAGGGTTACACCCCTTTGTACACACCTTTCTTCATGAGGAAACAAGTAATGCAAGAAGTAGCTCAGCTGTCACAGTTTGATGAAGAGCTGTACAAGGTAATTACTGGGTATATATATCTCAGCTTTATGAGAACTGCGAGGACAAACGGAATCTTTGTTGTTCAAGATTATTGCTAATATTTTCTCTTTCTGTTAGGTGCTCATTTTGGGGGTGACTAGAGTTAATTTCTGGGTCAGTGATCTTTATGAACATGCAGGCTTTCAAATCTTAAACATTTAGTGTGATGTTGTAGACTAATTTTGCAAGTTCTCTTTTTGACTAAATCCAATAGCATTGTTGTGAGTGGTCTTTCAACATTTTGCCTTAAATTGACATAGACATGAGTATGTGCCAAATTCCCTACCAACTCTTTTCTTTGAGGTAAATGTGCTTGAAGTCTTTGGTAGGCCGATTACATACTTCAAACTTTTGTCGAGGTGATTAACTTAACCACTGGTCCCTTTCGCCATTCTCTAGCAGGCGTATTTTTAAGAAGTCTACTTTTAATACTTTTATTTTTATGAATTTTTAATTAATGGGCGTGAATTTTTCTGAAAAATTTACGGAAACTTGACAGATACAATTAGATTCACAATATCAAATATAAAAGTTCAAAGTGTTTTGTTTTGATGTGTGTGCATGTGTGAATGTTTTCTGAAAAAATAAAAGCTGGGTCGTGTGTTGATGAAGACGCATTCACTGAATTTTACATGAGGCAGATGTTGAGCGCAAGATGGTGTTTTCATAGTTCTAACGCACCACAACTAGTGCTTGCTCTAGCCCTAGAAGTACGACTCAGGGCTGGTTCAGATACATATCCAGGGTGTGACCACAGACACATCATATTCTGAGTCACTAGAACTTGCAAAATGAACAGATGCATTTAAAAACTACGAAAATATTTGATATTTAATGTGACAAGTCAGTTGAACTTTAGTTGATGTAACTGTCCTTCACCTTCAATTGCTAAGAACTTGCCACGCGACCTCTGCCAAACTCGGCACGAAATAAGTAGTAAAACTTGCGCTGGGGTCCGTTTCCCTTTATGTAATGGGAGCACAATTTTCGGAAAACATCTGCAACGTCCTTGCTGTCGGGGGTATGAGATCCTTGCCAGCGAACCGGCCACCGGTCCTGTACCTGTGACAGGAAGAATTGTAGTTAATGAGTTAAAGCAGCTTCACTGTGACAGGGCTTTCTACAAACATTATACTGGGGGCAGTTGCTCATTCTTTGTGCATGGATAAGGACAGTTGTTTTTTTTCTAATACCAAATAGACAAATGACTGGATGTTTTGTGGACAGAATAACAAACTTTTCTTTCTATATTTATGTGTTTTCTTTGTAAATGTTATTTCTCCAAGGTTGTGGGAAAGGGCGGAGACAAAAAGGATGAGAGTGACCAAGATGAAAAGTACCTGATTGCAACCTCGGAGCAGCCCATTGCTGCGTTCCATCGTGATGAATGGATAGCCACAGAACAGCTTCCCATCAGATACATGGGATACTCTACGTGTTTTAGGCAAGAGGCTGGATCGCATGGAAGAGATACTCGGGGTATCTTCCGTGTGCATCAATTTGAAAAGGTGAGTTATTTCCTCCGTATTCGGATAAGTTGTCCTTTTGGGAATTCTTTTGCTGCTTGTATCGATAATTTTGTCATAGAGGGTTTATTCATTGTGTTTATTGTACAGTAAACTTGTTGTTACTTTGCATAATGAATGATGAATATAAATTCCACTTGCACCTTCTGTATCAGTGACCGGTAACTTTCAGTTGGTGCTGTTTTAACAGAGCCCGCTGATGAATGGTGATTTCTTTTTCCAATAGAGACCAATAGATAATATAGGCCTATTCACACTCTGATTCCTGTTCCTGATATCGTTAGATTTGTCAAAAGAAAGTTTTGAATACTAAGATGTACCCTTTTATGGTGATTAAAAATGTGACCAACTTTTGCTGTCTCTCTGTTGTACAAATTTTAACATTAACAATATTATTTTCACACTTTTTACAGATAGAGCAGTTCTGCATTACTTCTCCAGAGGAGAACAAGTCATGGGAAATGTTCAATGAAATGATTACCAATGCTGAAGAGTTCAACAAATCTCTTGGTATTCCCTACAGAGTTGTCAATATTGTTTCAGGTATGTTCACATATTTGTAGGGGTGAAAAGCTTCATGCCGAGTTACAGATTGTATGGGTTTTGTTTTTTTCTCTGCAATAGTTAAGCCGGGATTGACTATGTATATCATTTGGTTTGAAATTAGATAATTGTTGGTCATACTGCTACGGCCTCAAATAAAGTCATTGTGGCATCACACCTCCTGGTTTAGTATTCAGGGTTAAGTAAAAAGAAGGAATGAAGGCTCAGTTTGGTACAGTGGAGTCCACTTATGACGAGTCCTAAAAAAACGAGAGGTCTGTTATAAAGACACTATTCTAAAACCCTGGTTTTTTTCCCTTCTTTGTTTTTATAAGTAAAATATTGCTATAGCGATTATCAAACAAATACGCGAGTCGGTTATAGCGGAATATTGCTGCTGCTGTGCACAGCGCATAAGCCAATAATTACATAGATCTATGTAAAACCTCGCCAGTTGAGAAACCTGTTGGCGATCATGCAAACCAAAGAATGGGAGAGGAGAGCCCATGTGTGCCAACAACAAAGGCCAGAGCGAAAGAGTGGGGAGGGTGTTGCATGCGCAGACAAGCAGAACGCATCCCATGATAGGCCAGCCTAGTATTATCTAGGCCTACACTACCATGCCTCTCACTTCTCTTGATGCGGGGATGGAGAGGTCACAGTGCTGTGATGGATGGAGTGAATGTGTAGCGTGGACAGATTGTGTGTGCGCAAGTAGACGGACCGCACCATAGCGTGTGATGGGGTGGGGACAACACAGCGGGCGAGTTAGCATAGAGCCCTTTCTTTTTTATCGCCAACGCGGACCTGTCAACATCGCTAGCGATAGAGAAGGGAAACCTGATTTCATTTTTGATCAAGTAAGACATAGAGGTCATGTTGAACAAACTCATCGACAGGGGAGATATCAAAAATAAATAAATGGAACACAGAACTCATAGGTTATACCTACTATATTATTTAACTTGAATGTATTACTGGATCCCTTATAATGGATATTTCGCACCAGTCCCCTCCTTCTCGTTATAACAGGATTCCACTGTACCGCCATAAACTTGAAAATAAATACAATATCGTAGACCAGGCAGCCATGGCCACTGCTCTTTGCTCTCTATAAAGACTTTGCTGCACTAGTGATGATTGCGCAAATGAAGGGCTACACCTTGGTGTAGTCAAATGTGCAATCAACCTTTCCCTCTTTGCCCTCCTTTTGATTCCAAGTAGAGTCAAATGGTATGCTCCATGGTGAACTGGAATTACATGAAAGTACTCGGTTTAGAGTATTTTAAAACAAGGCTGTGATTCGTACACCAAGATATTGTCTCATTTGTTCTCATTGGAAATGTCTCACAATGCTTCTTTCATGAAAAAAAAAAATTGTGAGGGGGGGGGGGTAGTAAAAGGGGATACAGTCAGACCAGCTATAACAGTCACCTGTCCAAGGTAATCACACACACACCCCATCTGTGGTTTGTTTGTTTCGTTTTTTGTTTTGTTTTTATATAATGAAACTATTCAAGAGGACCACCTCTCTAAGGTAAACACTTTCTCCTCGGCAATGGGTGTTATCTTTGACAGGTTCAACTTTAATCTGTCCTCTCTGACTAAAACATTTTGCTGTTTACCAGCACAAGAAAACCCCTCGCTTCTCACTGGGGTTGTTTCAGAGATATGAACAGTTAAAATCAGTAAGGATTCATATGGGAGAAATTAGTTTCTAGTAGAAGAATCAAACCTGCTGGTTAAACAGGACTGAAATAAATGTGTCTTTAGACCCGTTATAGATGTATGTGCGACGTTTTTGGATATGTTGTGGTCATATGCTCATAGAGTTGTCTTTTATTGTCTGTGCAGGAGAGCTGAATAATGCTGCTGCAAAGAAGCTGGATTTGGAAGCCTGGTTCCCAGGCTCAGGTGCTTTCCGTGAGCTGGTGTCGTGTTCAAACTGTCTGGACTACCAGTCAAGGAGGCTGCAGATTCGCTTTGGACAGACCAAAAAGATGGGCCAGGAGGTAGGCTGTTTCATTTTGATGCTTAACCTCTTTTGATGCCATTGGTTGTGCTCTGATTTTCAGCTAAGCTCGTTAGCCAGGACAGCAATCTCATGTCTCAGTGTTAATGGACTACCCGTCTAGATCTAGCCCACTTGTGACACATATTCAGACTGAGGTCTTTTTATAGTGTCACTAGCTCCACTTTCCTCATTCTCTATTTTCCCCATCTTACCAATAATATTTCTAAAAACTAATAAAATTTCAGACAAATAGTGAAATTTGCGGCATTTTAAAATCATTTTTATGTAAACATTTTGCAAAAGCATGCATCTGTCTGCAAGACTATATATATTTTTATCGATCGCTTGCAGGCCCAACAGTAAATTAATTCTTATGAATATTGTACCAATATTCACATTTCTATATTCCCAAATACAAATCCATGCAGTGCTTGTAGCTCAATCTCCGTACAGAAAAATTAGAGCCAGATGATTGGCGGGATGTCATCCATGATACAGCACAAAGCTATAACTATAAATTACGCTTACCACAAATTTGGAATACACTGCGGGATCTTAGATTAGAATTGTTCCGACAATAGTGACCCCAACGCTGTGGACAAGGTGTGACAAGATTAAGAGTCTTTTTAGCCTGCAAAGAGAAAGTCTCTCTTTTGTCATTGTCTGCACAATGTTTGATTTCCTTGTTGTGTTTTGGGCTCTTAATTGCGAGCAGTTTTGTTGTAGATGGCAGGTGATTGGCTGTTCTCACCATTTGTATTTGTGATGGTTGTTTCTTTATTTGTTTATTGGTTCGGTATGCAGCGCTTTTTTTAAAAATAAGGGCTGTCCCAAAATTATCAAGAAAATGGCAATGAAAGGGAAAATTTTGTCTTTGTGGGGATACAACTTATACAGACAGTTGGCTAAACATTCACTTTATTTCTCAGTGTAATCCTCATGACCAGTCAAGTATTTTTGCCATCAGCACATAAATAAATACATGCCATCCCTGCAGAATTTTGCATCAACATACCAAAGTCAATCTTTGTTCACTATAATGGTATGCCCGAATTGAGAATCTCCTGAACTACCAAAAATTTTGTACAGAATATTATCTTGTATTCGTCTGTCATTGAACTTTGCTTTAGTTTGTTTTTTTACACAAAAGACGGCACAATTGTTTTGTCTTCCTTTGTCTCACCTTTTAAGAGGATTGTTTTATGGGGGTTTTTTGTGGGGGGTTTTCGGCATGGCAGATAAGAAGTTATTTGTGTATGCCATCTCATACATCAAACTTATTTCTATTTCAGACCAGCTACGTCCATATGCTCAACGCCACCATGTGTGCCACCACCAGAACTCTGTGCGCAATCTTGGAGAACTTCCAAACGGAGGATGGAGTTGTTGTTCCTGAAGTGCTCAGAAAATTCATGCCTTCAGGTAAGCTTATATCTTTCTAGAGCATAATGGTCCTTTTGAGCATTAACGAGGCTCTGGTAGAATGTTTCAAAACTCCAAAATTGTTACAGCATGTGGAACACATACTTAATGTTGTGTTTGCTTTGTGTGGGCTTTGTGTAAATCGAAACAGGACACTTCATTTCTAACCAGTGTTTCATGGTAATTGTCTAGTAATGGAAATCTGTTCACCTGATATCCCTCACAGAACATTGATCAGCATGTGCCTTTTTACTTTGACTCGATTGAAAAAATATAGATTCAACAAAATTACTGGCATTCGCAAACTGTGAAATTTTAATGGTCTTAGCTTCACGTGGCACATGTATGTCAATGAGAAATTTGTTGTGCTATTTACTTATAGATGGTCCCAAACTGGTTGATATTGAAATTTGGGGGGTTTTTTTTTACTAGTAAGTGTTTCCTAGTTTCCTATCTGTTCTGGTCACAAGATCCATTTGCTCAAACTGACCTTTATTCTTATTCTAAAATCTTACGAAGCATGGATTAGATTATTTTGTTTTTAAGCATTCACGTCTTTTCAAACTATGATTTTAATTGCGCTGGCAGTATGTCTTTGCTAGTTACACAACTCTGGTCTAAATGTTCTCAATTATGTTCCAAAACATTTTTGGAGCACATGTTCACACAAGGTTTCATCTTTTTTTTTCTCAGGCTACAATGAAAAGATTCCTTTTGTGAAACCTGCGCCTATTGATGAGCAAGAGGCAAAGAAGCAGAAGAAAGGCAAGAAGGGAGGCAAGCCGCCAGCAGAGCCAAAAGAGCAATAAGAATGCTATTTCAAACTGAACAGAGATTGGTACATCATCAAAGTGTACTCTGTTTTAAATTATTTCATTGCCTGAATGAGAGAGGGTTGCGAATGAGAGGGTGATACTGATAGGCCTACAGTGTTATACTTGATTTGTTGTTGTTTTAATCCCTAAGGTTTTTATTTCGTTTACATACTGTACTGTAGATATTTTTTAAAATTAGGCACAAGTAAAAAGTAAAAGGCTTACATTTTTAGTGTTGTCTTTATCCACCGTTACAGTTCGTAACCTATTACAGCCTTCTTTTTTTTCTGTTAGTACTAGTGCCATGATTATGTCAATGATGTACTGCTCGTACTTAAATTTCTTCCCTTTCTGCTTCATAGGAATGTTTGGTTCTTCCCTTTTATGTTCTCTACAAGTGGCCTTCTTTTTTAATGCTTATGTTGGATCTCCTTAACTTTTTTTAAAGACACATCCTAAAGAGTCCCCCCTCTTTAAAATATTTTTGCTTTGGTTATCATAGCCACAGCAGAGAAAAGAAATGTATTGCATGCTTCCTTTTTTATGTTTTAGTAGAGGCGGAAGTATTGCATTGTTCTGGAGAAGAGGTTAATGGTGTGTTATGTCACAACTACTAATATATTAGACCAACTATTTTTGAACAGTGAAAAAAATGTTCAGATCCCTTACAAATACCGGTGAGGGTATATTTTGAGTAAATAGCCCATTGATGACCATAGCAAAGACTTAGTTTTTATCTTTTTGTGTTGGTGAAGTGATATATCATGATCACAAAGTATAAAAGATATTGGAATTGCATCCCATTTCAAACTGTTTGTCATTATAGTATAGCTGCATAAGTTTTTTAGCTGAGTTTTTTTCTTTTTTTGACTTTGAGCTGCTCACCTTGAATGTATAAACTGATGGTGGCATTTTTTGTCTTGTATCCTGTCATCCTTTGATACATTTCATGTCATCCAGAAGTTATCACTTGATCACAAATATCTTTTTGTGTTCTTGCAACAAAGATAGGTGGAAATGTTAATGATAGCAAAAAGTTCCTCTCACAGATCCTGAGTACCGGTAATTAATTAATGTTTTCGTTGTTGAAATTTTAAAATCGCATTATCTGGTTATAATCTTGGCAATAGGCAAACAGCAACCTTTTTTTTAAAAAAAATAATCTTGTAATCTTCATATTTTTTGGAGCTAAGTTTGCCTGTAAAATGAGGTCTGAACTGGGTTATTATTAAAGATGTCTTGCTACAGTGCAAAAATATTTTTGATCTAACTTGTAGCTTCTGCAGTTGCAAGCGCCGTAAAACCTCTACTAAAACTAAACTAACATGTAGCTTTCCATTATGTAGAGTAAGAATATCTTCAAATCTTGTGGTCTTCTTTCCTATCAAACTTATATCGTCTTTATCTCCCCTCCGTCTTTTTTGTGTTTGTTACTCTCTTGTAACGCCTCTAATCTTCAGCATTTATATGACCTTATTGTGTTGAAAGTGCCGTAAAACTCTTACAAAAACTAAAAAGACCTTATGGAAGTACTGTTCTCTCCCCTCTTCTCTCTGACCTCCTCTACTATCAGCTCTCTGTGTTCAGTTGTACATCAGGGGCACCCTTGGTGCATCAGGTTTTTGCTTCTGTAATACTATTTCTTGACATATATTATACATACAATGCAATGTGAATGTGATGCCACGTCTTGTGGGACGCTTTGTCCTTTGCCCCTACGCTTTGAGAAGACGGGAAATAAAATTGAAGAAACAAAAAAAAAAGATTTTTTGTTTTTTTTCTATGAGTGTTCCATTATTTTGTGGTGACATTGCTGACATACTTTTTTGTCTTTGGTGATTGGAGTGAGGGTGTCTCTGGTGAGTTCAATTTTTTTTTTTTTCTTTCTAATGTTTCTATCCATCTTTCTTACTTTTTCCTAGCCCTAAATAATCTTTATAGTGTGGGTGTGCTTCTCTTTACTTAAATAAAGAGCCAACAATCTTGTCTGTTTTTTGTTTTTGTGTTTTTCTACTCTTGTTGCAACTGATTTCAAGTTACATGTGGCCTGTTTTCCCAGCTGAAGAGCTGTTTCTTCAGTTTTCTTTTTTTTTGTGTTTTATGTATTTGATGAAGGTTTAGAATGCCCACTGCTAACTTTCTACTGCCAAGATCATAGATGGAGGTAAACTATGCAAACACAAAATAGAAGGAGGAGAGATAAAAGAGATAGATGTTTGATAGGAAGGAAAGAAGGAGAAACCGTGAGCTCAGTTGACATTATTATCCTGGACAACGGAGTGGATGGCCCTGATTCGAATTCCCAACTGGGAGTTCAGAATTTGGGTTGTTTTAGGGAATTTTTTAAGGCTCTTCATCCATTTGACTCGGTCCTGTAGGAGATGGATGTTGGATTCGGAGGTCCTACCTCTTAATTTATCTCAGTGTTGAATTTGTTTGGAATTTTTTCTGGTAGTTTGAATTAGAAAACAGCCACCAAAATGTATTTTATTAAACCTGTGTGCAGTGGAGTATAATATATTTATTATTATGTCACTTTCTTCTCAGAACAGTCGGTGAGACCCACTTCGAATCTATAATGATAATACATGTATTTTCATTTACGTGTATACAGCACATATCCATGCTCAACAGTATACTGTGTGCTATCCAACTACTATTACCCTAGCAGACCCTAGAACTCCTAGAAACATACTGGCATCCCAAAAAGCATAGTGTACGAGCATCGCCCAAACACAAACAAAATATAATATATTGACAAGATCTTTCGCTGTCTATAGCCAGGTAATATTTCACCTGGGTGAAGCGAGGAAAAGTTGGTCCAGGGGGTTCGAACCCACGACCTTTCAGCGGTGAGCCTGGTAACCTAACCACGAGACCACCAGTGCCACATCTTTTTAACGCTGAGGCATACGACGTGCTTGACCAGTGACGGATTTGGGTCTTGGTGACTGCCCCGTGGCTCCAAAGGGGAACAGAATTACAATCGCATCTAGCGGTTCAGCACTTCGCTGCATAAATTAATCAACTCTAATCCCTGGTGGATTAAGATTTGATCATACCTGTGTCTGAATGGGTAACGAGGCGTGGACAAAGTTCAGTAACACGGAATCTCGTAATCCACTTCGCTAGATCAGCTTTCTGAGGCTACCAGACGGCGAGGGTTAAGATAAGTGGCCAGTAGGCTATCGAGTTCTTGAGTCATTGAGTCACAGAGATGGGGAATGGGACAGATGGTTCAGTCATTCAGTGGCAGGAAATGTACAGAGTGAGTGAGAGTAGTAGTAGTTCGTAGTAGAGTTTTTACGGCGCTCGCAGCTGCATAAGGTTATATTATGAGTGTGCTGGGCACACCTAACATCTTCAGTTGTTAGGAAATTTTTAATTTTGCCCGGGTGGCGGCCGAAGCCTACTCTTCGATTTTGGACCTCCAAGGGATTTTTAACGTGCGCAACTTGCACACGGGACCTCCGAGATTTTTCGCCCTTGTCTGAGAAGGCTCGGTGTAGATCTTTCCTACCATAAGAATTGGGGTGCGGCTGAAAGACAGCAGTAAGAAGAAGCCAAAGAGAAGCCGTAGAAAGGCTGCAGAAAGAGTCAGGAGCCCAGAGGAGAGGGGGGGGGGGGGGGGGGAGAAAATGGAGACGAAAGCGGACGACAGAACATTGTTAGCGATCAGGAAAGGATATGAAAGAAGAAAATTCTCCGTCGCTACCCGGATTCGAACCCGGGACTTTTGAATGAGAGGCGAACACCTTAAAGAACTCTAGGCCACGAGAGCCCCCTGGCTCTCTTCGAGAGACAAACATCTTATAATTTTGTTTCCCACTACTCTGGGACTTGGTGATGGTGTGTTGGAAAAGAAATGTCAAGTGGGATTATTGCACTGACTGTACCGAGTCAATAATAGATCGAACGTTAACCCCAATCACACAAAAATTGGTGCCTAAAACGTTTTGTAATGACAATGCTTCTCTATTTCTCTCTCTCTCTCTCTCTCTCTCTCTCTCTCTCTCTCTCTCTCTCTCTCTCCTTCTCTCAGACTAGAACTCCTAGACACTAGTTATCTATCATGACCGCCGCCATTCGCTCTCTATAGAAACTTGGTTTGCGAAGCGTGCGCACCTTTTTAAGCCCAAATGAGAGACAAAACGCCGATCTCGCTATCGTCAATACAATACAATGTAACTCTCCACCAGCCTCTGCTCTGGGCCATCTTTTTTTCTTCGTGGGTGGTTGGCGGGTGCTCTGGTGTGCTTTGCTTCTTCTTTCCTATAAAACATCTATCGTCCTTATCTCCCCTCCTTCTTTTTGTGTTTGTTACAGTCTTGTAACACCTCTCTAATCTTCGGCACGTATGACCTTGTTGTGTTGCAAGTGCCGTAAAACTCGTACTAAAACCAACTTTCTTCTTCCTGCCAGCTGTGCCCCATCTATCTGCCTATATAGTATAAACCTCGTTCCTCGGAGAATCTTGGCCTTACTCTCTCCCTCCTCCCTTAGAATTCCAACTTAGTCTTCAGCTTTGCCTTGTCCCATTATGATGAGCTGGCTTCCAAAGAGTGCTCAATCCACCGCCATCTTTTTAAAAAAAATCTCACTGTAATACTGGTTGTTGTTTGATTCTCCTCTATAATAAGCATGTACTTTCTTATGGGACACATTTTCTATGGTGTCTGATATGTTGATTTTCATGATATTCCCAAGACAACGACTGACTAAGAATTCTAGTTTACACGGATTTTCCTCACTTCACCCAGGGCGGAATGGCTACCCAACAATAGACAGTGTCCGTATCTTGTCCGTATGTTAGTGTTTTAGCGCCTATAAGTGGCCTCGTGCACTCTATGCTTCCCAGGAAGTTAAGGTTGTTTCAGAATGCTCTCAGGTCTGCTGGGGTAATAGTATAGATTGTGAAGCCAATCTATAGAGTTTACTGTTGAGCGGGGATTTGCGCTATACTTATTATTATTATTATTATTGACTGCCTGTTTAATTACTTTCTAGAAGTTAATAGGAAACACGTTTCTTTGTTTTCTTTGGATTGTCTTTAATCAAGGAGGAGGCTGGTAACTCCCCCCCCCCCCCCCCCTCGGCGGTTTTGCTGACTGAAGTGTCTTTAGGCTATTCCCAAAGGGGGGGCATTAACATGTTTTTATGCACAGCAGAAGTGTAAATGGGCTGATCCAACAATGTCATGCTCATACTCATAACTGTGCATGGACTGCAACAGGGAACTGCTGCTTTTTCTTTCCTAATCCTAACTATCGTCATTTTCCCTCTCCTTTATTTGTATGTTTGTCACTCCCTTGTGACCCGCTATTTCCTGGGTGCCTTGATAGTCGAAGCAGACTGTGCTGTGGAAGCTAGAGAGGCGAGCAGAGTAAGCCTGATTCACTGTAAGGACTTCTCTGTTGACATCCACACCTCGACTCATATGACCTTAATATGCAGTTGCGAGCGCCGTAAAACCTCTACTGAAACAAACAAACAAACAAGTAGCTAGTCTCGAGGATGAAATGAGCTGTACGATGGAGCTGACATGTAGGTCCATACAGCTTCTCCTGCAGGCTGAGGGGTGTAGGCCCTACTGTTTCCATCGGTGAAACAAGGTGGATGGGAGGGTACATTCTTTGATCATGTGGTTAGTTCCTTTTCCCCCCATCAAGGATCAAACATCACACTGTCTTTATCATACCTTCATCGTTTCTTTGTATGTTACTCTCAGGTAACATTTCTAATCTTCGGTACTTATACGACCCACGTTGCAAATGCCTTAAAACGCTAACTAAGATTTAGAAAGTAAAAAATAAAGACAACAAATATATGCAAACCCATTTACAAGTGAAATTTTTCGGTGGCCCTAAAAAGGGCCGATAACGACCACGTTGTTCTCCCTTGAAACGTTCCTCCAGAGAAGTATTCGGTTCCTTGGTCCAGAAGTTATGTAATTAATTCTATATGGAAATTTAGCGGTTCTACTTTTAGTTTTAATTAAAGAGCAGGGTTGGCCAAGGAGCCTAGTCCTTCTCTGTGTTTATTTTTCGGGGAGAACCTGTTCGTTATCAAAAGACGCATGTTTCGAAAAGAACCGGGATAGATTCAAGTAGTGAGTCTCTATCCCCTAGCTCTGACGGGAGTGGACTTTCTTCCTCGTCCACTGAAGTCTGTGTGGTTTCCGGCGTCTCTTGGTCGAGACGGAAGAGCCAACCAATTTCTTGGCTCGGCTCATCTTCCTCGAGGCTCGCAAACGATCCTTGCGAGCTGGAGCACATGGACTCCGCGTCCATGTCTCCAGGAGAAGAAGAATAGGAAGTTGATTTTTCTGCCTCTTCTTCTGCTCCCCCGCTGCTTGATGAATCTTCAACTTCCGTCGTTTGGTCGTTGTAGAGCTCCTGGGTCTTCGCTGGAACTTCCGCGTTTTGGATTAACGGCACGTTGTTCCAGCTTTGTTCTTCCACAGAAAGCTCCTGCGCCGTGGTACAACAGCATGTGCACCAAGAAACAACCACCCTCTTTATTCTCCTCAAAGTGCGACGTAAGGGCATTTTGACTTGCAGTGGACTGTCCGCAGGAAGAGTGTCCTTACAGAGCCATGGCAAGCTTACCGACATAACAATATTGCGCGGACCTCCGAGAAAGTGAAGAGCATGCACAGTGCTGCACTGTGTTTTTCCCTTGAGGATTAAAAACAAAAGCATCTGCAATCGAACCCGTGTAAGACGACCACCCATTGCTATTGAGAAAAATGGTCATCTTAGACAGGTGGTCTGCTTGGACAGGTTCATAAGGAGAAATAGAAAAATGCAACGGGGAAGTGGTAAGCAGTCGTTTGTACAGATGGTTGTCTTGGGGGGGGGGGTCGTTGGAGCAGGTTCAACTGTATTTCCCTTTCGTTTAGTGGTTGAGATCGTAACAGAGTTGTCAGTGGCGGTGCTGGTGGCTATGGTAGTCTCTGTCTGGACGGCGGAATTTACGGCTGGGATCTGGGGTATAAAGGTCGTAGTAAAAGTAGTTGAACCTGCTCCAACGGTCACCTACCCAAGACCACCTCCAGAATAAACGACCAATTTCCATTTCCCCTGTGTGGTTTTATATATATATATATAGGGGGGGGGGGGGTTGAAAATCAACTTGTTTCTGTCCGTTTCATGTTTAGACTCTACGCTGACATGATGTGTAGCTGACTAGCGTTTAATAAAATTGGTACATTGGACACCCACTGCAGTTGGCCTGCCTATATAATTGACAGTTTGCCAAGTACATGTGGCAGATAGGTCTTAACTTAATCAACCGAAGTGTACCCCGCCGCTGACCGCAGTAACAATTAGACGATCTGGATACACACACAGTGCAGGTTTAAGTGAGGCTTAATTTCGCGTTTCTTGCTTCATTAAATACGGACATAGCTCCGTGTTTTAAATTACCAGGTCGGGTGGAGTATAGTGCACGAGGAGAGCAGCTGTCTAACAACACTGTGTGCAGTGCAGGCCAACCCGTAGAAAGGGAGGACGACTTCTGATTCTGTGCTTTTAAAGATGGGTCTAAATCTTCTCTCCCCTTTCAAACAACGTAACATTAATAATATCATTGATCTATAGTTTTGTATTTACGGTGGAGGAAACCAGGCTAGAAGAAATCGGACGCCCGGAAGTGAGGATTACTGGTTACAGAAACAATAATCAAGGTAAGTCAATTATTAACCCAAAAAAAACCCCGCATAGAACGTGGATATGTGCTACATAAATGCAAGTATTTGGCATATCATTATTTTCTACTAGTAGGATTTTCGAACTAGAACCAGGTGGCCTTTTTTTTCTTTAATCTAAAAAACAAACCACGCCTTTCTTAACCCACCTATTTTCTGTTCTGATTTCTTACTTTCTATCTCTCTTTTCTCCTTCAACGAGTAGACGAACCAGTAGAAATATAATATAGCAGTTGCTGTAGGCTACGTGTGAAATTCTTTGAACTGAAGTCATTGATGTCGCTGACGCCTACTACCGCACACGATTTATTTTCGCAGTAGTCTATACCATGTCGCATTTGTTCACGTACAGAGCTAAACATTGAATTCATTTTAGAATGATAATAATTATGACTGGTACAAAAATGTGGAAGCAACACAAAAAAATGAAGTTGTAGGTGTAAGAATAATTTACATGCAGCATCCGTGTAGGCTACACAATTAACTAATTAATACAAAGTAAATATTGTATCATACTGGCAATTGACTGGGCCATGAAAGAAGCCACGAGAGGCAAACGTAATGGAATACAATGGATCCCTTGGCAGCAGCTGGACGACTTGGACTTCGCCGATGACCTTGCTGTACTGCTCTCTCACACACATGCTCAGATGCAAGAAAAGACCAAGGAACTCAACAGCCTATCAAAGAGTGTTGGCCTACGTATACATCCAGGCAAATCAGAAGTAGTGAAGCTAGGAAAAGTTTCAAACCTTGCTGTGACAGTGGAAGACACCCCCGTGGAAGAAGTGGACTCCTTTACCTACCTTGGAAGTGTCATCGATGGTAAAGGTGGAACCGAGGCAGATGTTAAAGCAAGAACCGCCAAGGCAAGGTCAGCCTCCAAGCAATTATCCAAAATCTGAAAAGCAAGCAACATCTCACTGTGCACCAATATTCGACTTTTTAACTCCAACGTCAAGTCTGTGCTCCTCTACGGCTGCGAAACTTGGAAGACAACGAAGACAGTACTGAATAAGGTCCAGACTTTCATCAACAGATGTATGAGGAGTATTCTAAGAATTAAGTGGCAGGATAGAATAAGAAATGAAGAGCTGTGGGAAAGGACAGGACAAAAGGATATAGAAGTAGAAATAGGACTAAGAAAGTGGCGATGGATGGGACACACCTTAAGAAAGCCCAGCGGAAACATCACAAGACAGTCACTGCAGTGGAACCCACAGGGAGCACGAGGCAGGGGTAGGCCACGGGAAACATGGAGGAGATGCGTGGAAAGGGACATGAGAGAAATGAAGCTCACTTGGAACGAGCTTGGAAGGATGGATCAGGACAGAGATAAATGGAAGGAGCTTGTACGTGGCCTATACCCTGCCAGGGGTGAAAGGCATTGATGATGAAGATGAAATATTGTATAGACAACATTTTCTATGGAGATAGATCTATGTCTCATACCAATGTTTCTGAAAGTCGATGGCGATGTTGATGTAACTTTGTCATCGTTTCTGTTTCTCTCTTTCTCTCTCTCTCTCTCTCTCTCTCTCTCTCTCTCTCTCTCTCTCTCTCTCTCTCTCTCTCTCTCTCTCTCTCTCTCTCTCTCCCTCTCTCTCTCTCTCTCTCTGTCTCTCTCTCTCTCTTTCTCTCATATACAGGGGTATATATATATATATATATACATACATACATACATACATACATACATATATATATAATGTATATAATCAGAGGTGGTGAGTCAATAGAAGAGCGAAGGCAAAGACAAGTTAACAAGTTAAATTCCTTGTGTTTAAATCTCAAGCATCTCTCAAACACACAAGTTGTCTTTTCAGTGTGATTTCGATCTGATTACTGTTATAGCTGGCTGGCTCTGATAGCGGATGCCCAATCGTCGAATGGACCCTCTGCATGATCAGACGGGATCGGATCGGGTCGGGTCGAATACTGGCCGAGGGCAGAACAATGGGAGTAGGGGTGGAAGGAGGGGGGGGGGGAGTGCTCACTGTCAAACAGACCTCTGCTTTGCGTTATCCAATCTGAAGCAGAGACACGAAGGTTCATTAGGGCCTGTCCAATCACATCCCGCGTGCTAACAAAAGATCGGACTCCGCAATATGAAGTACCTTTCTTGCTAGCTATCTCCGTTAAGTGTATCAAACGTATCAAATTGTGTCCAAATACGTATGTATGTACAACTTGTTTTTGGTGGATTTGATCAAATTGAGAGAAAAATAGCAGCTATTACCCTACCATGGAGAAAAAATCCGGCAGGCGTTAAATGTATCAAATCAAATGTTTCAATGTATCAAACGGCGATTCGACGAAACTTGAGCTACGGTATTCACTACCGAGGCTACAACTACAAGCGTTTACATTGGTTTTCTTTCACAAAACTAGATCTGTACCCTAATCTCACCTTAATGCATGTGCTGAAAAGGGTGCAGTCAAATCTCTCAGCTGTCATCGATACACTCACTGGGGTTATTGAAGCTTACTATTCGTGTAGGCGTACACTGTAAGCTTGGATCTGAAGCTTTTCCTTTTGTGTGCGAGCAGATTATAGAAATTCCCTTTTTTATATGCGTGCGTGTGAGTGTTTTTGTGAGTAGGCCCTATTATGTGTTTGTGTGTGTGTGTGTGTGTGTGTGTGTGTGTGTGTACGTGTGTGTGTGTGTGTGTGTGTGTGTGTGTGTACGTGTGTGTACGTGTGTGTGTGTGTGTGTGTGTGTGTGTATATATATATGTTTGTTTGTTTGTCTGTGTGTGTGCTTAAAGAGAAAAGGAGTGACCGACAGATGTGAGATCTATCTCTCGCCAGAGGGCAGAGCCCCCCGGTGTGTCACAGTCTCTGACTCTCTCAGAGAGAGAGAGAGAGAGAGAGAGAGAAAGAGAGAGAGAGAGAGAGAGAGAGAGAGAGAGAGAGAGAGAGAGAAAGAGAGAAGGTGGGGAGAGCGATTTTTTTAGGTGGGGGGGGGGGGGTAGAGAGACAGAGAGAGAGAGACAGAGATAGGTAGGTTATAGTGAGGGATTTTATTGGCTTGGCTAGATGCATCATTCATGCGCAACCAAGAAGAATACAGGTACATTTATTATGTAAAGGCTGCCTGTTTTTCCTCAGTTTAAAAAAACAAGAGATTTCGTAAATCGTTTCAATAAAATTTCATTACTAAAAATGCTTTTTAAGGTCTGCACAGTTTCTGACCATAAGGGTTTTAATTTTGCATCACATCTTCATAACCATTTTGCAACTTTTGTCAACAAAACATGAGTATATTCTTCATAGAATTCTTTTTTTCGCGGGGGGGGGGATTTTTTTTTTAAACCCCGAAAAATTTTTTAATCTGCAGGGCTTTTTTATGTATTGTAATAGCTGATAATCTTACCAAACAGCAAAAATGTCGCTTGGAAAAAAAACCCTTAGGATGTATTCAATGTCCTCAATTTTGAGGTAACAGTTACATAAGATAGCTCTCTGTTGCCGATGAATGGTGATTTTCACATTCAAATCTCTCACCATTTGACAACACGAAACATTGGGTATGGAGAATTTCAAGAGATGGAAATTTCACGGGCACCTTCCTTTAGGCAAGTTTAGGTAGGATACAGCATTCAAAAAGGCAGATTAAGGGGATACTCGTCACCCATCCGTCCATGTTTTCGGACACACAGAATGGGCTCTCGTGGCATAGAGGTTAAGATGTTGACCTCTCATTCAAAGGTCCCGGGTTCGAATCTGTGAAGCTACAAAAAAAATTTCTTCTCCAAAATTGTCTCCCTTCACCTTCTTTCCTTCTCTCTTGCAATATTCTGTCCTCTGCTTTTGTCTCCACTTTCTTCCCCAACCCTCTCACCTCTTTTGCCCCCTCCACTGGGCTCTTGACGCTTTCTGCAGCCTTTCTACTGCTACTCCTTGGCTCCTTCTCACTGCTGTCTTTCAGCCACACCCCTGATCTTATGGTAGGAAAGATCTACACCTTGCCTTCTCGGACAAGGGTGAACAAATCTCGGAGGTCCCGTGTGCAAGTTGCGCACGTTAAAGATCGCTTGGTGATCCAAAATCGATAAGAGTAGGCTTCGGCCGCCACCAGGGCAAAACTCAAAAATTTCTACCAATTGAAAATGTTTGGTGTGTCCCACACGCTTATATGACCTTATGCAGTTGCAAGCGCCCTTAAACACTTACCAAAAAAAAAGGAGACGCAGAAGGTGATGCCTGTATTATAATGACAGTTCAGATACGAGAGAGGTCAACTGTTGGGGGAACAAACATTTAAAGTGGACAGTTTGAGAAAAAAAAAGTTTAAAACTGACAGTGGGAGTTGAAAGTAGACAGTCGGAGAAACGAGTGCTTAAAATCGAAGTTGGAGGAACAAGAGTTAAGTTACCAGTTGTAGTTTAAATAATGTCGACAGTTGAAGAATGGAGAGTTTAAAGTCGACAATTGGAGGAAAGGCTGTTTTTAAAGTCACTCTACTTGGCCACAAGCCCAGACCACTTCTCGGATGGTAGTATGTTACAAAAGCCAAAGGCTTTAGCCCGGGGGCAGATGGTTTCCAGTGATTAGCTTTGCGTGTTTGTAAGCAGGGCCGAAATCAGCTTGGGGCTTATTTCAGATTACCAATCTCAGATCACGACCGCAAGTGACCCACAGTTGCGAGGTCAGATGATAGCTAGGTGTGTAAACGGAGAGATTTCGATAGCCGGGAGTCAAAAAGGTTCTAACTTCAACAGTATGAGGGTTACGAACCAAAAGGTTCCAACTGACTATAGCCGAGCGATAAAAGGATAATCTATTGCGAAAGGGACCTTTTGAATTTCTGTCTCTTAGAAGTGCAGCTTTTACAGAGAGATAATCGTTTGACTCTGGCCTCCTGGAGCACTTGGTCTTCTGGAACACTTAATAAAATCGAGGTACAAGTGTGTTGGCGAGGCAACTTTAGATTGAATTCTTTTTCTCATTAAAAAGTATCTTAAAACTGATGTTC